CATGCCATACCATGACATTATATAAGAGGATGAAATTCCAGACCATTGCCTTGGATACAAAATTAGCCTGTAATACTTTTCCTTAGGCCCATTCATTTAAGTTATCTATATGTAATTGCTGCTGAGACTTTTACTGTATCCCAAGCTTTCAAAATAAAAGTAGTTCCTCCAAGAGAATGCATTCCTGATGTAATCTGAGTCAAAGCCTGGTTACACAATATTCCTCTCATTAGTGGAATTTCTGAGAGGAATCCCATGCTAAGGGGTTTTGAGATTTAGAAGACACAGAGAATCTGAAAAAGCACAATTCCATTTCCCATACACATTTTCACACCATCACTTTCAGTCACCTTTGTAAACGGCAGAGATTACTGAGAATTGGGGATATGAATAGTTCCACTCGGTCGCTTATAAATGTAACCCTAAGTGGAACCGGGCAGCTAGGTGGTACCATGGATAGAGTGCCAGGCTTGGAGTCAGAAAGACTTATCTTCATGAGCTCAAATCTGGCCTCAAACACTTACTAGCTGTGTGACCCTGGGCAAGTCACTTCACCCTCTTTGCCTCAGTTTCCTCATCTGTAAAATGAGCTGGCAAAGAAAATGGCAAATCACTCCAATATCTCTGCCAAGAAAACTCCAAATGGGGTCACAAAAAGTTGGATATGACTGAAAAATGACTGAACAACAAAGGTGGAGCTACTATCCACAAACCTGGTCCTGTTCAGCAAGAAGAAGTTAGGCAAGTTTCACACTCACCCTGGAGGTTGGGTGTTCCAGTGACCAGAAATATTGAGGAAGTTTTTGGTAGTCAAGGAGTAGATGATCTCCCAATCACCACCACCCCTCTGCAGCATCATGCCTCTCCGCTCTGGATGGCTGCCTAACTTGCGAAGCTGGAGAGCGGTGTTTTGTGAACTCATGCAACCAGAATTAACTATTGAGCCCTCACCTTCCATAAACTCAGTCCCTTCCTTCAACTTTCCATATTTACACTGTGCTTTTGGAATGACAAGTCAGCTCCTCACAGGTAGTCTTGAAGTCTGTATGGAGGGTTTTCCTTCTTTGTATTGACTTTTTATCGAATAAGGATAAAATGATACCACATTTTAAAAAATCTACCATATGGCTATAAAACCTGCAGGCCATCCTAGAACCAAATTGCCTTTAACCAGTAAATAAACCACATTGACCAAGGAGCTCTCAGGAACACACAGTTCTGTTTATTTACTCATCTCAGGAGGGAAGAGAGTAAGTATTTGTATGGTGCCTACTATGTACCAGACACTGATTATATCATTTGATCAAGAACCCTGTGAAGTAGGTGCTATCGTCCTCATTTTACAATTGAGGAAACTGAGATTAAGTGACTTGCCTAGGGTCACACAACTAATAAATGTCTGAGGCTAGATTTGAACTCAAGTCTTCCTGACTTCAAGACTTTATCCACCATACTAACTGCTATCTCAGGGCCTCTTCTCTTTGGAGCAGGTAAAGAAGTATGAGAAAAACAATAAAGTTCCCAAGCGATCTTTGGCTCATGCATCCATTAGGACCAGTCAGTAGGTGAGGGACTCAGGAACTCTGAATCAGATTTTCAGCTCCTCCTCACAGTTGAGGGTATAGACTGGAAGAAACCTGATGTAATCTGATGCTCCCTTGGCTGCTGCTTACCTGGTCAATGTCTGAAAACTCCACCTGCTTCTCCATGGCTAACCCATCATTCCTAGTTTGGGGACATAGGCAAGGGCAGGTCAATCACTGAGAGAAGCTCCCTCCACCCCAGTTATTGTCTTGCTTCTTCTGTCCCTCTCATTTCTGACCTTGAGTCCTTCAGCTAAAATGTCTGGTAGCAAGACATATATCACATCCTTTCTCATCTCTTTGCTCTCTCTTAACTTTTCAACTTAATGAGTGGGTTTGAGCCAAGGCACAGAGATCTAATCATCAAATGGGCATAGACATTTAACTCTGTATTACAGGAGAAATTCTTCAATCATTGAGGGAGAAATTGAGGTATTTTATTGGCTCCTGAATCAATTGGAAGTGTTTCCTCAGTGAAAAACACCCCTCCCAGATGGCCATATGAGAGTTTCCTTGGGTAACAGTTCAAATGACCTGTTCAATCCAGCATAAATGAAAGGTTGGAGCTACAGCAATTCATTCAGCAAGAGGGAGATACAGCAATTCATTAAGCTGCTATATGAAAATTTTTATTTAATTTTTTTTTTTGCTATGATTTAAGTTCTGAATGTCTCCCTCCCTCTCACCACGCACCAGAGAAAGCCACCATTTCACACACACACACAAACACCATATGTATACATGTACACGTATGTATTATATATATATATATATATATATATATATACATATAGTGTATATATAAGTATATATGCATACTATGCATACTTCTACTTATCAGTTCTTTCTCTGGAGATAAATAGTATTTTCCTTCATGGGTCCTTTGTAGTTGATTTTAGTATTATAATACTCAGAATAACTTAGTCATTCGCATCGTTCTTCAAACAATATTGTTGTTACTGTATGCAGCTTTCTCTTGGTTCTGCTCATTTCGCTCTGCATTATTTCATGCAAGTCTTTCCATGTTTTTCTAAAATCAACAAGATCATCATTTCATATAGCACAGTAGTATTCCATCACAATCACATACCACAACTTGTTTAGCCATTCCCCAATTGATGGCCATCCCCTCAATTTCCAGTTCTTTGCCACCATAAAGAGAGCTGCTATAAATATTTTAGAACATTGAAGTTCTTTTCCTTTTTCCCTGATCATCTTGGAAAACAGACCTAATAGTGGCATTGCTGATCAAAGGGTGTACACAGTTTTATAACTCTTTTGGCATAATTCCAGAGCTCTGTGAAATTTAGAAGTCAATGTCATAGGATAACTGTTATTAAGAAACTGCTTTATGTTTGAGCCCATCCTCTCCAGGGACTGAAGTGGTATAAAGGAGAATGTGTCCCCAGATGTTGGGGAAAAGTTTGTTTTTCTATTCTTGCTATATTGATGCTAACTGATTAAGTGAAACTGAGATACTAATCACTGGTGGTTGACAATGGGAAGAATATTTTGGAATGGACTGATTGCATTAGACAACCCCAACCCTTCAACTGTATCTCTAGGATGCTGGGAGGGAGATATTAGGGGAGAGGAAATTCAGATGAGGATCCTCAGAGCTGATAAGAGCTGAATTAATAATAATCGACATGTCTACAGTGTTTTACAACATATATTGTCTCATTTGATCCTGAAAACAACTCTATGGGACAAGCACTATAGGTATTATTATTCTCATTTTATTGACGAGGAAATGAAGGCCAGAGAAATTGAACCACCTCTGCACAAAGTCTTGTAACTACTAAATGTTGGAACTGGGAATTAAGTCCATGTCTTTGAGATTCTGACTCCTACATTCTATCATACTATGCTGCCTCCCTGGTTGGTCAGAAACCAATACAGTACCTCCATTTCTTCCTCACTGTCTCTCTGGAGTACTGAAAAGTCTATCTTAGGCAAATGGCTGAGATTCAAAGTGCTCTAGGCTGTGAAAATCTGTGCTAGATACCAGCGTTACCAAAGATGGAAGACAGAAAAAAATCACTGGTTTAGATAAACAGGGAGATTCCCCATGGGAACACTCTTCATTTTGAGAGGTAGAGAGAGTGGAAAAGATCCCGGCACCAACTCACAAGTGCCTTGTCTCCTAAATTTGAGTCTAAGTACCTTTTAGGATAGAATTTGTAATTTCATTGTTGTAAGAAATTCCCTGGCAGAGCTGAGAAGAAAAGAAAACTAACAAGGAAGCAAAGAAAAGAGAGACAGCTCTCCACACAATGTGTAGTACTTATTATATAAGCTTTCTTGAAATGGAAATTTATTGCTATATTTATGTAAAACAATATATTTGTTGCTATACGTTTTGAATCCTCTCATGTTCTGTTATGAACATACCATGTCTTTTTTTCTTTCCTTATTATGTACCTAAGTTTCAATATTTAAGTTTATAATATATTTCTTTTTCTTTTCCTATTGTGTATTTAAGTTTAAAAAAAAAAAAGAAAGAGGAAATTCTCTACCAGTATGGGCAGGTAACTTCTCTACAACTTATGGTCTTAAAGACTTACCGTGGTCACCAAGAGGGTAAGTGACTTACTCAGCCTCACCTGACCACTCTACGTGAGAGGCCAGATTGGAACTTACATCTTCCCTACCCCAAGGCTGGCTCTCTCCACTAGGCCACACTGTCTCTCTTAAATCCCTTATGGGCAAGAGAAGTATATTCTATATCTTTAGTAGCCCCATTGAGAAGAGGGCTTTATATGGCATGAGTTTAAAGAATGCTTGCAAAATGAAGTCAAACTTCACAGTTAGGGACTCTTCTAAATGATCGTTTAGACAAGAGGAGAGCTGAATTCCACTTTTGTTTGAAGAAAGAAGAGTTTGCTGTAGGCATTAACAGTGCTGGGACTATAGGAAGAATGTTTAGGCTCCTGAAGAGACCATACCTTAATTACATATAAATAACTACTAGGCTGATTACAAATAACTTTCATGCATTCATTAAGCATATTCCCAAAGGACCTCTGCTAGGTCCTCAACAACTTGTTAGCATCCTTCAAATTAAAGTTTGCTTGTTCATTTTAAGTCATTGTTAAAATACTTTAAAGGCAGAAGGGATCTTGTTGATCTGGTTCAACCTCTTTATTTTACAAAGAAGGAATCTGGAAATCCAGGAGGTTTAGTCATTTGCACACCCATGATATGTTGATAGGTTGGTTGGCTGTCGTCCTTTGCTCTCGGAGAGGGCAAGAATGGCATCACTATGCTGGAGTCAAGTTACAGCGTGCCCGACTGTGACAGATCAGACCAATACAAGCTCAGAATGTTCTACCACAGGTTGGGCACAAACAGTCCTTGTGAACATTTGGGGTGGATTCTCTAAATCTGTGTGTCTTGCATTTCTTTTGAGCTATTTCAATTCTGCTTTGCTCATAGAGCGCAGAACCTTCTCTGATGTGGACACGCCATGCTGAGCGGTCTTGTACCAGGATATGAACTAAGGTACTGATTCTAATTACAGACTCTTTCCCAGTATCAAACAAGCCATCAGCTAGCATATATTAAGCATCTGTACCATGTGCCAGGCATTAATACTAGACCATGAGGAGAAAAAGACAAAATCAAAGTCCCTGCTCTCAAGGAGATTACATTCTCTTAGGGAAGTCAGTATGCATACATGCAAGAATATGCAAAATAAATAAATACATTTCTTTTTTTTTCCTAAATGCTTCTATCATTTTCTAATTCAGATTTCCCTAATTTAGACTGGCCTAACCTTTCTGTGATTTAATTTCTATATCTGTAAAAATGAGAAAGTTAGACCAAGATCTCTAACCTCTAATCTCTAAGACCTCTTCTGATTGTAACATTCGATGATGTGCAAGGGTAAGGTAACTGATTAACTCAACCTCATCCAACTTAAGATAAACCTCTGATCTTTCCCTAACTTCCTCTCCCAATGCTGTTCAGCCATAAACATTATATAGCTAATATTGTATGCTGTTTCATAACTCAAATATTTACCTTAAACTGAATTTTGTCTCAACTGCTAAGAGGTCAAGGGTTAATTAGAGATAGATATAAATACAAATTTTGGCAAAGATTCCATCCTCTGACATCCTATGGGGGTGTTACAAATTGGGAATCTCATCTCAGATTAATTTTTTTCTTTCCTTTTTTCCACTCTTGTTTGGGAGTTTAAATTAAATCCTGTACTAAAGTTTTATTTTTCCTTCTTCTTGCATTTGGCTTCCTTTGAAGTAGGATTGCCCACATTATTATTCAAGCATAAAATTTTAAGCATTATTTCTTTTAAACATTTTTATCAGAAAAATCGTAATTCTGATCTATGCCTCAGAGAAGACTATTGGTTTTGTAATTTCTATAATCTGGTGATAACTTTTACTGTTATGATTGTTTCTAATTTGATTTGCATTGTTGGAAGTGGTCAAATGGTTTGGTCAATTTTCATATTACTCTTCAGTGGTTGGATAAATATTTGCATTATGGGAAAATATTGTGAAGATATGAGAAAGGTATTTGAAAAATAATGTCCATTTGCAAAGATTGATATTAATAAGGGAGTACTGATATGGAAAAGAAGATGTATTTAACAAAGATGTTATAATAAACTTTATGAAGAACAAATTAAGAGAATAAGGGGAACTATAGATAAATATATGTGGGAATGACATCAAAAGCACCCATTAAGGAAGTACTTTGTGAATTGTTGGTCATTCAAACATTCAAGGATACCTGAAAAAATCCAGATACTACAGTACAGGAGCTTATTAGACATTAGACAACATTCTCAAAAGCAGCTTTGAAAATACAGTAGACTTTCATTAACATAATCCCAACTAATCAGGAACTGGGGGCTAAATATAGCTTTTTGAGCTTTATTTTTTTTTAAAGTTTCAATCAATAAATCAATCAAGTTCTAATTAAGAACCTACTATGTGCCAGGCACTATGCTAAGTACTGAGAATACAAAGATAAAAATGGCATTGTCCCTGCATTCACTGAATATCCATTGGGTGCAGGGGAGGGTGGGCAAAGAAATAAATGGCAGAATTTTTAGTAAATGTTTTATCTATTTAAAAGAAGAAAATGTGGTCAAACTCTTTATTAGTGTAGCAGTACACATCAACATTAATTTAATTTAATTTAATAAAAAACTGATAATCTAGGTAGAAATCACTCTTCTCTGCTCACTGAAGTATTTCTCTGTGATCACACTAGTAGAATTTTCTTCCTTCCCATAGAGCATTGTGCTAGATTTTTGGCATGGGGGTCCAGGGGAGAGGGGAGACAGATACAAGCACCAGGCCCTACCCTCAGAGATAAGACATATGCACAAACAATTATACTCCAAATTGAAACATAGTAATGATTATAGCTGATATTTCTTTAATGCTTTAAAGTTTGTGAATCACTTTACTTTGTCTGCATAGTACAGGAAATAGTGAGTCGGCCTTGAATCTAAGATTTGAGTTCAAGTCTTACCTTTGACACACATTGGCTGTGTGACTCTGAGTAAGTCACTTAATGTCTCAATGCCCTAGGCAGACCCCTAAGACTATAAGTTACCAAAAGTGGCTGATCTGTATTGGTTAGAGGTAGTTCCCTTGTCTGGGAATTGCTTCTACCAGTGAAATCACAAAACTAGTCTCTATCCCTAACCCTATCTCAACTGTACCTTTCAACATCTCTGTAACGTATTATTGCCCCCACTGAAGAAGAAGAAGAATAGCTAGCATTCAAAATGCCTACATTGTGCTAAGTGCTTTAGAATTATCTTATTTAATCCTCAAAATAGCCCTGTGAAATAGGTGTTATTATCCCCGTTTACAGATGAGGAAACTGAGGTCTTATTTACAGATGAGGAAACTGAGGCAGAACTTTAAGTGACTTGCCCAGGGTCACACAGCTGATATGGTGTCTGAAGCTGGATTTGAACATTGCACTGACCAACTGTTCTAGTAATAATACCTCACATTTATAGTTCTCTTTTCTTTTTGAAAATTTTCATATTTTTTCCACTTACATGTAAAAACACTTTTTAACATTTGTTTTCTTAAACGTTAAGTTCCAAATTCTCTCCCTCTCTCCTCTTCCCCTCTTTGAGAAGGCAAGTTGATATAGATTATTCATGTACGATCATGCGAAACATATTTCCATATTAGCCACATTGCAAAAGAAAACAGACCCCCCCCAAAAAAAAATAAAGTTTTTAAAAGCATGCTTCGATCTGTATTCAGACTCCATCAGTTCTTTCTCTGGAGGTGGATAGCATTTTCCAGCATAAGTCCTTTGAAATTGCTTTGGATCTTTGGGTTGCCGAGAGCAGCTAAGTCATTCACAGCTGATCATCATACAATATTGCCATTACTGTGTACACTGTTCTCCTGTTGGTCTATACCTAGTTTTTGTCAAGCTGCTTTCCAGTTTTCCCAGAAATTTTTTGTCAGTTAGTGAGTTCTTGTCCCAAAAGCTTGGATCTTTGTGTTTATCAACCACTAGATTATTATGGTCACTTACTTACTGTGTATTATGCATGTAATCTATTCCACTGATCCATGACCCTATTTTTTTTTGCCAGTACCAGATTGTTTTGATAATCATTGCTGTTTTTCAATCATTTTTCAATCATGTCCAACACTTTGTGACTCTATTTGGGTTTTTCTTGGCAAAGATATTAGAGTAATTTTCCATTTCCTTCTCTAGTTTTAGGTGCCCTCTTTTGATAACTGCCACTTTTTAATACAGTTTGGAATCTGGTACAGCCAGGAAGCTGACTTCTTTCCCACTTTCTTTCATCAATTGTCTTGATATTCTTGACCTTTTGTTCCCCCAAATGAATTTTGTTATTATTTTTCTAGCTATATAAAATAATTTTTGGTAGTTTAATTGGCATGGCACTGGTTAAATAAATTAATTTAAGTAGAATTGTAATCTTTATCATATTGGCTCAGTCTGCCCATGAATGGACAGCTAGGTGATGCAGTGGACAGATTGCCTGGCCTGGAGTCAGGAAGATCTATCTTCCTGAGTTCAAATGCGGCCTCACATGCTTTTTAGTTATGTGACCCTGGGCAAGTAACTTAAACTTGTTTACCTCAGTTTCCTTATCTATAAAATGAACTGGAGAGGAAATGGCAAACCACTCCAGCATCTTTGCCAAGAAAACCCCAAATGGGGCCACAAACAGTTGGACACAACTGAAAAACAACTAAACAACAACAACAACAAAAACATAAGCAATTAATATTTCTCCAATTGTTTAAATATTACTTTATTTGTATGAAAAGTGTCTTTATAGTTTCTGGGTTTGTCTTAGCAGGTAGACATCCTAGTATTTTATATTATCTACAGTTATATTAAATGGAATTTCTCTTTCTGTTTCTTAATGCTGGACTTTGTTAGGAATATACAGAAATGCTGATGATTTATGTGGGTTTACCTTATATCCTGCAACTTTTCTAAAGTTGTTAATTATTTCAACTAATTGTTTAAGGATTCTCCAAGTATACCATCATGTCATCTGCAAAGAGTGACAGTTTTGTTTCCTCATTGCCTATCCTAATTCCTTCAATTTCTTCTTCTCTTATTGCTATAGGTAGAATTTCTTGTACAATATTAAATAATAGTGGTGATAATAGGAATCCTAGCTTCATCTCTGATCTCATTGGGAAGACTTCCAGCTTATCCCCATTACAAATAATGCTTGCTTATGGTTTTAGATCGATACTACTTATCATTTTAAGGAAAGCTCCATTCCTATGCTTTCTAGTGTTTATAATAAGAATGTGTTGCATTTTGTCAAAAGCTTTTTCTACATTTATTGATTATGTTCATGATTTTTATTAGTTTTGTTATTGATAAGGTCAATTATATTGATAGTTTTTCTAATACTGAACCAGCCCTGCATTCCTGGTATACACCCCACCTGGTCATAGTGTATGGTCTTTGTGATATATTGCTGTAATCTCCTTTCCAGTATTTTTATTTTAAAATTTTGCACCAATTAGAGAAATTGGTCTGTCCATAATTTTCTCTTTGTTTTTGTCCTTCCTGGTTTAGGTATCAGCACAATACTTATGTTGTAAAAGTAATTTTGTAGAACTTCTTTGTTTATTTTTCCAAATAGTTTGCATAATATTGGGATTAACTGTTCTTTGAATGTTTGGTAGAATTATTTGTGAATCCACCTGGTCCTAAGGATTTTTTCTTAGGGAGCTCATTTATGGTTTGTTCAATTTCTTTTTTCTAAGATAGGGTTACTTACTTGTTCTATTTCCTCTTTTTTTAATGCAGGCAATTTATATTTTTGTAAATATTCATCCATTTCACTTAAGCTGTTAGATTTATTGGTTACTATTGGGCAAAGTAGCTCCTAAACATTGCTTTAATTTCCTCTTCATTGGTGAAGAATTCATCCTTTTAATTTAAAAAAAAAATTTTGGACTAGGCAATGGGGTTAAGTGATTGCCCAGAGTCAC